AATATTTAATGATTTTTACTTTATTTGTCCATTATAATCATCATCTAATATATATAATCTCCATAATCAAAACGATCGTTTTCGTATCTACCTAATGTATTTAAAATTTAAGGAGACTATATATTGTAATATTATTTTTTTGCTATCTACGAGAGTCGAACCACAAACCTCCCGTTTCAAAGGCGTATGCTTTAGCATGTACCAACTTGAATATAATTAAAATTAAAATATTAATTATATATATATTAATTAATAGCTGATATTTTTAAAATTTTGCCGTTTATTATCATAACAACTTGACGGTGTTGAAGGGTAATTATTTAGTTTGTGTGTATGGAATATATTTTATTAATAAATTTTATAAAAATATTAAAATTTAGGAGAAAAAGAGGTAAAATTGTTGCAATACATTGAGCATTAAAAGCATTAGAAATATCAAAATTTAAATTTGTGATGGAAATCATATTGGATAAAATTTTAAATAGAGATGCTTGAAGATTTTTGAATTTTAAATATGGCTTAGACATTGGCCTGAAAATTTTTTTTTGCAGACACAAGGCTCATGCAACTTTCATATTCTGATTGTATTTATAAATGAATTATGACTTTTACATATTTTATTTCAGTTCTTAACTACAAAAATTATTATGGCCTTTGACGGGCTTGAAAAAATTTTCTCAACATGATTTTGAGCATGAACCTGTTGGGAATTTTTTTATATTAAATATTAGGCATAATATTTATAATTCATAAAAATATTTTCCAAGCCCAGCCCCACCCATAATAATTTTAAAAAATTTTTCTCAAACCTGGCCAACGCGTAATAATTTTGAAATTTTTTTCTCAAGCCTGTGGAGATAGGTAAATCTCTAAAAACCATATTCATTTTTTATTCTTTTAATCCCGCTCAATCCTACTTCAGACTAAGACCAACTCATTAGGACTAATAGTGAATGCTATTTTTCGAGTAAAATTATTTAAATTAGCTTAAGAAATTTTTTTTAAAATTATTATGGGTGGGGCTGGGCTTGGAAAATATTTTTATGAATTAAATTAGACTGGGTTTAGGGAAAATTTTTCAAGATTATCAGCTTGGACGCTTGGGAATTCTATTATCAATTATGGATCAGATATTGACCTAAAACAAATTTTTTTGCGGCCTGGGGACCTGGCCTGAAGGGGGTTATAAAGAATAAAAAGATATTATTTTCAAATAACAGGTAATAACTATCATAAAAGTAGGGAGAAGCACTAACTAATTACCCCTCAACACCGTCATTCTTGACGGATTATTAGCTAGTAATTTAATAATGAAATACAACAATCTAAAATACATTATTAACAGGATACTTCTAGATTATATAAAATAATAAATATTACCATCAAGTATCTTTTTAAATTAGAAATTAAATATTTTGAAACTTATATTATATTTTTTGGACACATTTTACATTTGATAAGAGAATTGGTTTATTGAAGATATGATGTTACTATAAAGTATTTATTATATTTGGACCATGATAATGTAAATAGAATCAAATGATGATAATAAAATAACAACATCCATGCTCACGTTAATCTATAAATAATATTCCGGCTGGTTAAAAAATTAAAATGTGATAAAGAACAGCTGATTAAAAAATAACCCTTTTTTTAAAAAAAAGATTGAATTGATTATTTTTATTTTCAAATGATAAGATTTCTAAAATTGAAAGAACTTTAAAAAACGAAATACGTTAAGGAACGCGTTCCATATTTCGTCAAAAATAAAGGTATTTATCATTTTTTTCAAAAAAAACGAACAAACATTAGTAAAAAGTACGTCATTTTTGCCACTTTGAACCCTGATATCTCCAAAAATATAAGTGTTAGGAGGCTAACATTTTGGCCATTTCTCAGTTACGTAACCTTTCTTTACTTACCAAATTTTAAAAAAATAGAAGGGTGTCGGCTGACAAACTCATTTTTTTTGCTTTTTTGATATGGAATGTATTTTTTAGGCATATTATTTGAATTAATTTGTGTAGATATTCGTTTGCCATGCAAATTATTGAAGGAGACATTAATAATCGGTCAATAAACAATTTAAAAATACATATTGAAGGGCAATGCTCTTTTTAAATTTTTTAATGGAAATAGGATCATAAAGAGGTATATGTCTTGTTTTTCCAAATTTCAGTCATTTATTTTTTACTTTATAGCATTAAATTTTAATTCAGATTAATTTCTTTATTATTTAATAATATAACTAATTATTTGCGAAAGAAGTAAAAAATCACTTATTTTTGTAACGGTAACTCTTATTATATTAGGTAATATAAAATCAAATGAGCTCAAATGTCTAATTTTTATTGAAAAAGGTCGGCCAAAAATACTTTTTTGTAAAAATCTTTATTTTTTTTAAATCGAGGGTAATTAACTAAGGTTGGCATGCTAAAATGCTTATATTAAAATTTTTATTTGTCTTGTTTTAAATACAAACATTTTATTTTATCTCATTGACTATATTATCTGTATATATTTGAATTGCTATATTTGAGTTAATCCTGAAACTATTTTTTTGGTCTTTTTGTAAGATCTTTTTAAATTTAGGAAATATCAAAAATATATATAAACCCTAATAAATAGATATAGATAGGTGCAGTTTATAAATATTTATAAGTTAAAATATTAAATGAATTAGAATATAACTTTGTTTTAAAATTTAATTTTAAAATATGCTCAGAATATGTTAAATTATCTAAATGGGCAAATATTAAATATTTATAATATAATTACTTTACCTCGGGAGTTATTTTCCTTAGGAGTAAATTATTTTATTGTAAGATTTAAATCCAAAAAAATCATGATTTAATCAAATAAATTATGATGTTTTCCACCCCTATAATAAACTACCTGATGTTTTAAAATTTGCCCCAATCTAACATAAAAAGGATTCAAAATTCTCTGAAACTTATATACATCTTATTTATACATTTAAATAAATCTTACATGTAATACCGTTGTCGCGTAAATTTTATGCACGAATGATTTGGCTCCATAATTGAAATCTAAATATAATTCATATTCCAAAATAATGCCTGTTTTTACTTTTGGGATATAATGTAATATTAAACTTTTATTAAGATAGTAAAAAAGATGATGTCAAGAGTTATAACATACATAAACAAAATTATCATCTTGAAAATAACGCCGGTGAATTATGAAAAAGTTTAGAAATGGTTCTTTTAGCTTTAAGTCGAGTTGAAACCTTCTAAACATTGTTAGAATTTAGATAATTTATTTTCCCAAATATTTTTGATTTATCAAAATGGAATACTTCATTTGCCTTGCATACCACATTATTGCGAGTAGTATTGCGTAATCGGCTAATTTTAGCCTACTCCAAAACGGCTTAGCCGAGTTTTTAGGTGAAAAATTGACTATCGGCTAAAGTTAATTAGTCAAAAATTAGGCATCTGCCAAGGAGTTTGGCTATTCGTCCGTCAGCAATATGTAATAAATATAAATAAAATAATTTTATTGAATGATTAAGGCTAGGCTTAGTGTTGCGTAACGGTGAAGGACAATTAATCGAACTCCCCGATGGCTAATTAATTTTAGCCGATTTCTCGGCTGAGCCTACGATTAACCGATTTTTAGGCTAAGCCAAATTAAGTCTGAAGTTTTTAGCCGATTACGCAACATTACTCTAAAGTTCCAATACAAACTTAGACTCGTCGCTAAAAACAACTTTTGACCATTCAGCAAAGGTTCAATTTTTATATTTCTTTACGAAATTGTATCGTTTCTTCTTTTGGTTAAGTGTTAATAGAGGTTTTTTTAAATATCATTTAAACTAAAAAGTACACAGTTACCTATATAAAAATTTAAATTATTTTATAACATTTATTAAATAAAATATGAATCATTCTGTTTTAGGTAGAGATATGTATGTATGCTAGTTTCTCTCAATTTATGAGTCAATGGAACAAGATTTGATCCGTGATTTTCTCCTATAATTCTTTACAAATCACGTCGTTCATTGCATTTTATATTATAGATTATCACATACTTTAAGATATAAATTATTTGAATGAGATTTCAGGATTTATATTTATTAATTTTTCGGCCAACTTTTACAGATGTTATATTGTTATGACATGACATAAATACATTTTAAACATTCTATGATGGCGGAATACCTTTATTAAATATTTTAAGATTTTGGTCAATTCTCAAGTCTGGTTAAAAAGGTAGAGTGGATGGTATGAAATTCTTTAGTTTTATTAAACTTGATTGTTGCTTGTTATCCTATATGACTAAAAAATATATTTTAAGTCATTTTAAAAATTTAAACAATCGTAATTAATTATATCTACAATCTTAAAAATTAGATATAAATAAATTTAATTTTTTTTAAGAAATTTATCTTTATTCAAAAATATTAATTTAAATCTAATTGAACATTTATATATAATATAAAAAGTCTTCTATACATAATTAGCAATTCATAGGATATCGCTGGGATTAGATCATTGCTAGGAGCAATAAATTTTATATTAAAAATGATAAAAAAAATTTTACTGGTTATTAATTTAAATATACTTTACTGGTAAGATGACTAATGAAAGAGTAGGCATACTGATAAATCAATTGAACGATCTGATTTTCCAGCTGTATTTAAGGATGTATAGAATATCTTACCTATGAATTTCCCACTTATCCATGAATGTGTTTTAACTTACATTAAAAATCTATATAAATTACAAGTATTTTTTTGTAATTAATGGGGTAAATACTCAGAAAAATGTTACATATATAACCGACATACTTTTTATTTAGTAATTATATATATTTTTATATAGTTTTAATATTTTAATGTTTTATCATTTTTTTAAATTATACCAATATTAATATTATCGAAATAGAATTTTAAAAATCATGACAAAAAAAAACCAGTGAAATATAATGGCCTTCATTAATAATTATATCAATATTCTTCATAATTCTGTTGATAGGCTAACCCCGTTCCCATGACAGTTAGCGACCAAATAATGCTCTGGGAGATGGAAAAATGTCGTTTAAAATTTACCGAAGGTGTTTTATACAACCAATTCTCTACGAGGTCTGATTTCGACATCATTCAAGCATGTGCTCAGGTTTAAGTCTAGTCTGATTTATAATAATTACTAAATGACATTATAAGCACATTCTTTTCACATCTTACAATATATATTCTTTAAACATTTGCAAATCTTATTCAGGGCAGATACCTTCATGGATCAGGCTTGCCTGTGGCCAATATCCAGCCCATGGGTCTAATATTATTTTTTCTAGTAGGCCTGGGTTTATGAAGATTTTTTTAATGGACTTGGGCTTAAAAATTTTTAATTTAAAATTAGCTTATTTAAAACAGTTGCTAACTTAAAAAGATAATTTCAGTATTACAAACAAAATGATTGCCTAAATACGCTGAAATATGGTTTATTTTATTGAATACAACAAAAATATTTTTTGGGCTTGGGAAAAAATAAAAATCTTTGATTTAAGGTATGCTGGAAATCGGAATTTTAATATTTAGATAGTCTATTTTTTCTTATAAACTAGGCTAATAAGAGATATTATAAAATCTAACTCCTTGTATCACTTTTCGAAAAATTTGTAAATATTATTTATTTTCATATTCTTTTAATCTAACCCTCTATAGTCGGAATATATCAGACATAATGCACTCATTTCTTTTTTTGGAATGGCTAGGAGTTTCTTCAATTAATTCCAAATTTTTAAATCACTTTTATCAACCATTATGAGAATAACATTGAACCAAATTTTTTTTATTAATAGTTCGAAATCATCTTGCAGTTTTCGCATATATAAAAATTTTTCTGCTTTTAATATATTTAAAATTTTTTATCCTTCCATTTATATAAGATAATATATAATCTTGATTAAACAGAATATTAATGTCGTTGAATGGAGCAGCAGGAACAAGAGGGTGTTGATAGTTAGTAAAGATGGGCACGACGAAGTCAAAAAATTTTGGAAATCCCACAAAAGTTCTCCTTAATACTCGTTTATCGTTTTTAGAAAATTATTTGACGGAATTATACAAAATTTTGTTAAAAAATATAAATCTGTTATAAATATTATTATATAATAAATATAGTGTATATAATACACACCACAATAAAGAAGTAATGTCCTTTAATTTCAATTTTTATATGCTTTGTATAAAACATCATATTTTAACGATTGCTATCAAATTTTGTTTAAAAATTGAGTTTGATGCGGCTATGCGGGGAGATAGAAGTATGTATGTTATAAATGTTGTGTGGTCAAATTTCTATGTTTTATCTTGATAAGCATAACATAATACCATGTGCTTGGTATGGACTGTTTGCACATAGTAAGGATTAGAGGTCTGCAAAGTCCTAGATGGGTGACATCTGAAATTTTTTTATTTGGGCCGGGCTGGGCAAAAAAATTATATAATTTATGAATATAGAAATGATATCTATAAAGTATAATGTTTTTAATCCACACCCCAATATTTTAAATGATTGTTTATATTTTGGCTGTATTTAAGAAATAATTTAAAATGGGCCGGGCTGGGAAATCTTAGTTAAAAAAAAACCAGGTTGGGCAAAAACTAAATCTTCAAAGGGTGGAACTGAAAATTTTGCCATTGGCAGACTTCTAATATGGATAATTATAGTGTTGCGTATAGGAATACGGAGGGGGGAATCGAATGGTATGAATGTGAAAAATATTGCTGAGATTTAGGGTAAAGCTATGGAAGTGGGATGGTGTTATAAGTATAGATAAAAGGGTCATCAGGCTAGGAATTGTGGTAGAAGTGACTTTATGGTAGTGAAGTTAGTTCAGGTCGTCATATCGAGGAAGGTGAAGTAGGTGGTGGAGGAAATTGTATTGAGGTAGTAAATAATTTTATTGTGGGCTATTAATTGTGTTGGAAGTAGAAAGGATTCTGACGGTTAATCGTTGTAAGAAAATTATTGTGGACAGCGTCTACATGACAAAATTCGATGGTATCTTTGCTTCTGCCCATGGGAAAAGTGTTTGTGACGGAATAGGGAAAACCGTTAAACGCTTGGCGGGTCAGTTTACAACGACCTTATGATTATCCTGATAATAAAATATTTAAGTGCTATTTAAGCCAAACTAGAAAATATCCAAAAAGAATAGGCGAAATATCAACTAATTATATTAAAAGTATGTAACGTTTTTATGATGGTGGGTGGCATTTATTAGTGATGCTGAAATAAAATTGATATTTTACATCCAAAAGGACCTTTTCAGTCCTTTTATTATCCATCAATATCGGATATTCTAATTACCCAGAAGAATGATATTCTCATTAGAGATCTGTAATGACCGGGTCTATTTTCAAAAAATAATTTCGGGAAATGTCGGGCCTAATATATTTTTAAAAAATTTCGGGTAGGCTTAAATTTTTAAATATGATATCAATAAATTTTGTCAAATAAATAGATATATTTTAAAATTCTTCTAACAAACAAGGCGCCATTATTTTTTTTATTTGTAAAATATTTTTTTACATTTAAAAAAAATATTCCTGTTTGAATACATCCTGGCCGAGTGGACAAATAATTTTTATTTCAGGTCAGCCTTTTTGGAATAAATAAAAATTTCGTTAGGGATCGGGCAGGACAAATTTTTTAAAGAAAATTTCTAGCTAGGCCGGGCTTGAAAAATTAGACCCATAAATATTAAGTATCCCCATTGTCAACCCTTTGAAAGACACGGGAAGAACTTACACATTAACTACGATGAATCCGTAATGACTATCTATGCAAATAAATATTTATATTATATCAGGGGCGTCACTAGCCTTTGCAATCGCAGGGGGCTCAACTAAAAAAAATTTATGAGGGGCGAAATATAATATTTTTTAATACAAAATATTAATCCATTTATTAGTATATTAATTAATATAAATAATTTTTTGTCTAAATAATTACAAGTTATAAAAAAGGTTAACCTCAATTGATAATGGTTTTTAAAACCACACAGGGCGATATAATTCTTATCTTAGCAACCTACATTGACAAAAGATCATTAAACTAATATAACGTTGTGTTACCATTTTTGACAATGTTTTATAGAATTGACTAATTAGGAAAAATTTGTAGGTGTAACCAAATCAATAATTCTTAAAAAGGATAATGTAAACGACCAATCCAAAACATAAAACTATATGAGTTAATAAATACTGCCAAATCAACGTATAAATATTTTCTAAATACCAACCTAATTTGCTAAATACTGACCAAAATTTATTAAAATGTAATAAAACACATTATTTAACATATATTATAACGGTATCACGTGGTCGAGTCCGGCCTCCTATATATCAACCCCCCCCCCCAAATGGACGGAGCCGTCAAGTTGGAATAAGAAAAAAAAGTTGATCTTAGTTGGGATTCGAATCCAGAACCAACTGATTGATAAGCCACGCTCTTGCCTACTAATCCATACAAATATATATTATAAATAAATTTAGTAGTACCTATCCAATTGAAAAATAAATAAAATACAAATTTGATAGGCACTACATTGAGGCAGTATTCATCATATCGATTATATGGTGGATAGACCCGTATCAGGTCAATTCAGCGAAACTTTTATCGCTTTTTTAATAGCAAAGTTAATATCGCGAAACATTTATAGCGAAGACAATTTCGCGAAGCCATTATCGCGAATTTATATACTCGAAACCGTAACCGCGAATTTATTATAGCGAATATATTTTAGCAAAACTTTTTACGCAAACCCATTACAGCGAATTTGGCCGAAATATTGGAAGCACTAACGATGAATCATATGACACTTTTTAGTGCTTGTTAGTGCTTCAATCCGTATAGTAGCTGAAACGAAAAAATGTTATAAGCAAAAATAAAAACGTGCTAACTTCACACTTAAAAGTCGATTGAAAGCACTAACGATGAAATATATATTTAATGTTTTGGTAGTAGAGATTAGTGCTTCAATCACTTTTGTAGCCGAATTTAAGAATAAAAAGTTATTTGCGAAAAAAACAAATAATGGCGACGTGCCAAAACAAAAACTATAGTAGTAATAAACATCCGTGTTTCCCCATTATTTAGTGTTTAATTAATATATTTAAATTCCGTTATTAATTTGGTTAACTGTCATGAGAATGAATTGTAATACGCTAAAGAAATATGTAGAGGTCAAATTTAGGTCAGAAAATTATGAAAGTGCTAACAATGAAACTTATATCATCCTTTAGTTCTTCTTTAGTAGAGGTTGGTGCTTCAATGACATTTGTAGCCGAATGTAAGTATAAAAAGTTATTTGCGAAAAATAAACAAATAACGGCCAAAAACTATGGCACTCCTAAACATTCAGTTTTCGCCATTATTTATTACTTAATTAGTAAATTTCAATTCCGTATTTAATTTGGTTAACCGTCTTTATAAAAAGTTGTAATACGCTAAAGAAATGTTTAGAAGTCAAATTTTGTCCAGAAAATTATGAAAGTACTAACGATAAAATTTATATCATTCTTTAGGGCTTTCTTAATAGAGTTTAGTGCTTAAATCATTTTTGAATCCAAATGTAAGAATATAAAGTTATTTACGAAAAAAATAAATAATGCTGACCAACTAATACAATAACTATAGCTCTACTAAACATTCGGTTCGCCATTATTTATTGCTTAATTAGTAAATTTGAATTCCATACTGAATTTGGCTAACAAAAAATTGTAATACGCTAAAAAAATGTTTAGAGGTCAAATGTTGGCCAGAAAATTATGAAAGCACTAAAGATGAAATTTACATCATTCTTTAAGGCTTCCTTAGTAGAGGTTAGTGCTTCCCGAATTTAAAATAAAAAAGTTATTAACAAAATAAGCAAAAAATATATCAGCGACAAACATCTTATTTTTATCATTATTTAGTGCTTAATTTGTAAATTTAAATTCCTTAATTACTTTGATTAAGAACTTTATAAAAAGTCACAAGTAATTAAAAAATGCATATTGTCCTTTTGCACTTAGCCTATCAATTTTTTCCGAAGATCATCTTACTATATTTGAGTAATAAAATGTTTCAATAGCTTATATATATTAAAATGCCCAATATACATCATTGAATAGCTCAAAAGATTATTTAAACTACTGCCTGAATGGGTCCATTGAACCCTATTCTTTATAAGTGTAATATTTATATAATATTATTAGGTTTTTATTATTTTATTATAACAAATTCATTTTTTCTCCAAAATCAATTATTCTGAGGTGTCATTGAATGATATAGTTAAAAACATTCTCTGAAATTTTTTATTCTAATTCAAATTGTTCCTTTTACATAGTTTTATTATATTCGAACATAAATTTTAGCCATATTTAGATCTCATTATTATCAACATACTGATAGTTACCCTGATTCGATAAATTAGTGCCATATCAATCCTTCAAATTCTCGGACACCTCTCTAGACGCTTAAGAAAATTTTAGAGAACCATATCAAATTGAATGTTATGTTTCTATAGATAGATATGATCAATCCAAACTCTTCTCTAGAAATTACTAAAAAAGTTATTAATAAAGATACAAGTCAAACTCCATTTGGTGGTCAAAAATATAATTCTCAAGCGTGATCTCTTCTTATTTTCTTTAAAATCTCATTTTCCCACTTAAACTTGGGTCCAAAACATAAGAAAACTATATAAGATTCATAACTATGACGTAAGTCTTCATTAAAGTTTTATTATTAAAAGATTTTTTTTAGATATATCAAAATCAATATGTTTTTTACAATAATTATGGAAAGTTATTTAACTATATAAGAATGTTTTTTTCACATTATGGAAATATTACAACAAATCATTATTTCGCGATTAGTTTAGTTACTATAAAAATTTACAAGTAATCAAAAAATGCATATTGTTTTGAATTATAAAATAAATTGACCACAAAATTTCTCACATGTGATTAATAAAAATTTTTTAAAAAAAGATTATATTTAAAAAAAAATTTTGTGTTATTAATATTAAATCTGAAATCTTAATTATTCCCATCCTAACTCTATAACAAGTAATACTTTTTTAAATAAAAATTTATGGGCCCATCGACAAATTTTATTTATTTTTTTATAAATCAATTTTCGGTCGAGTTGAG